AGTGTGGTGGTTAAGGCAGCTGGATTCTCACATGGCCAACTGTGATTCAAACCCTGGACTGGGTGGCTTGAAAATCACGCTGGGCAGGTGTGCATTCATGCCCAAGATCCCAAAAGGAGTATGGAGGAGAAGGTATTGGGCATGGTCATCTCCCCTGGGTGGTGTTTAACCACCTCCTCTTTCTTTGTATATCTCTATCTCTCTCCTGAGTGCATGTGCCCTATGACAAAAATCTTAAAAAATTAAAATAAATACAAAAAAAAATTTTAAAGACAGAAATATTTTTTAGAAATAGGAAAAGCTATTTTCAGAAACTAGAATAACAAAAGAAATTGCAAGACCTAACAAGAGAACTATCTCCACCTATACCACTGAGCTGGGACCCTAGGGAACAGGCCATCTCTGCAAGTGTTCAGCTGGGGCTTCCATGGGGTGAAAAGCAGCCTCTGAGCTGTGAAATCTGATCTGTTTGCCATTTAGATCCATGTGACTCACTGAGGCTGGCTGCATTCATATCTAAAAATACAAGAAATCTGCAGCCTAAGCAAATTTGGCTCATGGGTTTTTTATTCGAATATTGCACATTTAGAGACAGTAGTTTTATATTTGTATCAGCCAATGGCAAAGAAGGTTCTGCTGCTCAAATGACAGGGACTAGGTTGAAATCTAGAAGCAAGAGGATCAGAAGATTTATCTGCTTATATACATTTTATCTTGGAGTACATGACACTTTATCAGTTAACAGGAACATGAGCTCTGAGGTCCTCTGCAGGCCGGAATGATGCCCTTCTTTGGGCATTGGGTGTGTGCCACTAAATACCTGTCCCAAAAGAGGACAAAGAGAGTCATAAGTTATTAAGGACAGAGTAGGGTGTGGTGGCTGGGGCCTGGCATTTGTTATTTAGTCCAGTTTCATTCAGAACCTTCTCCAGTAATGCCTGCAGTCATTACAACTGGCAAAACGGGCAGATGATTTCTGAGCAGTAGCTATTAGACACCCTGATTCATTCCCCGGAGGCCGTTCCTACTCATGGACCTGGTGACTTTTGAGAATGGTCCTCCAGGAAGCTGCCCAGCAGAGCCTCTGCTGCACTCACCCATCAGGACACTCAGCAACTTCTGTACTCTGGAGTTGACCCCCACAATGCGGTAGAGCCCTTGCTCATTGATCCCTGGGAAAAGAAAGAGTGATGATTTAATTGTAGGCACATCAGACAAGTCGGGCCAACCTAACCAAATGCACTTTTTTTTTTTTTCATTTTCATTTTCTCAGTCCTTCTAAAAGCTGCTCTAATTAAAGTCCCCTGTCACTCAGCTCAGCTCTTAGCAAAGGAGTGGGATTTGGTACAGCTGTCTAGGATTTCACGGATGTGCTGCACACTTCAGCCCTCATGTTAGTTCAGTCATCAGAGAGGAAAGAAACTTTCCTCTTCTCTTGCCAAATGCAGCATCTGAAAACTTTTAAAGGATGCAAAAATATAGACTTTTAAATATGTCACATTTAGCTGATTTTTAAATTAAAAAGGCCCAAAGTAACATGATAAAAATTCATACAACAGAAAAGGATGAATACTTTATAATCTAATTTTATATATAAAATGAAGTACTGAAGTATAAGGACATTGTTAATTTTAGAGAATGTTAGCTAAGACTGAGAAATTAGAATATGTACATTACAAATAAATGTAACGTACATATCTTTTATAAAGAAAAAAGACCATCTTCATTCAACCCAAGGAAATGGGCAATTGGAGTAGAAGGGATTTTCTTTCAAACACCTACCAAAGAACAAAAACCTAACCCAATACAATATTTCTGATCATTTAAATATATGGATTAGGTTAAAACTTGAACCATTTCCAAAGGGGGCCATTTAGATTAAGCAATTTGAAATTACTTTTCTCCTGTTAATCCTAGGCCCATCATATCTGATACCTCTCAGTGGTCTCTCGCTTTGTACCTTATTCCCCGGATGTCCATTCCCTAACTAGTAGCCAAAGTGAGCTTTGTAAAGTATAAAATGGTTCACATAATCTCTTCTCTTAAAACTTTCCAATGGACTCCCATTGCATTTAGGACATAATAAAACTCCCTATGATGGCCTGCCAGGCTTACGTGACTAAGCACCAGCCCATCTCTGACCGCATCAGCAGCCTGCACTCTTCCTGCCACACCACACATCACGTCATGCTAACAGACCAAGCCCTGCTAACATACCAAGCACATGCCCACTTGGCAGTCTTTGCTCACCCTCTTTGATCTAATGTATCCCACAGCTGATGCTACTAGTCAGTCCTTTACCCCATTTTCTTTATAGCACTTAACGAAATCTGAAATTATTTTTATTTGGTTCCTCATCTGTCTTCCTCCCCACAAATAGAATGTGATTTTATCTTAGTCACCACGGCATCTCTAGTCCCCAGACCAATTTATGGTGCACAATAATGAACGAACACGGAGTTATACTCATCCAGGGCCAAAAAAATACTTGGGGCCCAATACACAATTTTCTGGAAGAAATTCAGGGAAGGGCTGATTCTACAATGTCTTCAGTAAGACTTACATAAAAGTGAAACTAATAAATAAAAAGAGATAGAGGAGTAGAAAGAGGATCTTAACAGCTGCAAAGGGTCTGTAAATTCATGTACATGCATCCCTGGTCAAAAACTAAGGGATGCATGTCAGGTCACTCAGTGGTAGAACCTTCAGCCTAAGGGCTTAGAAAGCCTGAATGGGACCAGTTAGTGCTGTGGTGGTTAAAGCAGCTAGATCCCACATGGCTGACTTCACAGTTCAAGTTCTGGACCAGGCAGTTTGAAACATATGTAGGGTGTATGTATACGCCCAAAATCCACAAAGGAGAAATGTAGAAGGGATTATAATGTAACTATCCCCCCCTTGGGGGTACTTTCTAACTTACTTTCTCACTCTGTCTCTCTCTCCTCCCTCCCTCCTCTTCTTTCTCCTGTGTGTTCATCCTCTGGCAAATGAGAGAGAGAGAGAGAGAGAGAGGAGAAGAAGAAGAAGAGGAGGAGGAGGAGGAGGAGGACGACGATGAGGAGAAGAGGAAAAAGAAGAAGAGGAGGAGGAGGAAGAAGAGGAAGAGGAAGAAAAAAGAAGAAAGAAAAGAAAAGACAAAAGAAAAGATAAAAGAAAAAAGAGAAAAGAAAAGAAAAGAAGAGAAGAGAAAAAAAGGAAAGGAAAAGAAAAGAAAGAAGGAAAGGGAAAGAAAAAGAAAGAAAAGTCTGAAATAGCTCTATTTTTGTCCGATGCTTTCCTGAGACTACACAACCCCAGCTCCTACTGGACAATTACTGATGAATCCCAGAGTGTGGGATGTCTGATTCCCTGTGTGTGGTTACACACACACATGCATTACAGCAGGGAAATACCTACTTTCTTCAACTATTTATGTTAAAAAGGCATTCAACTCACACTGTCCTTATTTCTTCTTTGTGCTAAATAAAAACATTCTTAGAAAGGTAAAAAATATATCATTAGAAGTAAAAATATATCATTTTTATTTTCATTTTAGAGGAGGAAGGGGACAAGTAGGCAGAGGCTGAGACCAAACCAACCCATGACCCTCTCCACCTTATTCTAGTTATTGATGCATTCCCCAATTTTACAACACAAAAAGTTGTCCTCCTGAGTTACCAGCTGTGTTTATCACAGACTCTGAGAGTAGTTTTAAATGATCAGGTTACCCTCTTGGTTTTAGCTGCTGAAAACTGAGAAAAAAAACAGGTGGCCCACCACGGGTGAGTACATGAAATGAACTTCACAGAAAGGGAGACAATTTTTGTTTTGTTTTTACTTTTGGTTCCATTTTTATGCTTTGACCTTTGCTCACCCTGTTCCTTTATTCGTCACTCTTTTCTTTTAAAATAAAAATAAAATTTGTAAAACTCTTGTTGAAAAATGACTCTGGCAATGTAAACTCCAATAAAATGTACAAAGTATAGTAAAGGCAAAGAGATAAACCAAAGGAGAACATTTGAAATCAGCAGAGAAAGTCACCGATAACACAATGGTACCCCTGCAATGTGGTCTCTCCTCTTACCACCATTCCCCACATGGGTTTGTTCTGGGCAGCTGTTTGATAACTTGCATTTTTCACCATCTCATGCACATAACTAAGAAACTATTTGATCTTTTTTTTTTTTTTTTACAAAAAAATGTATTTCCCCTGCATTTTAAGGGATTTACAGTCTATTTACTGCATAGATATACCACTGTTGACTGAATACATTTTTTGAGACACTTGGTCAGTTTCTGATTTTATGATCACCATTGTATTGTCATCCTATGGCTCAGTCTAGCTGGTATCCTTTTTTCTTCAAGATTAATATCCAGAAATCTCATCTACACTACATTGTCCAATTTATTTTATGCAAATTCACAAGCCGCCCAGACTCTTCAGAAGAGAGGAACAGAAAAAATAAGCACACATTGACATAGGAGGACAGGCTCATGAGATTAGTTGTCTCTCCCCCTCCCCCTCTACTCAATGCTTCAAAGCCTTTATAAAGAAGTTTATATTTCTCTCTTTTTTTTTTTTAAGAGAGGAATTTTTACTCAACTGGTAAGATTATGGATCCTGTTATGAAAGAAAGAATTTCTTTCAAACATAAAAAGGGCTGGTAGGTTGAGAGGCTGTGGAATAAATGAGATTCACATCTTAACAATGGTTCAAATCAAATCCAGTGGGAAGACGGTTAACAGCTCTTCCCAGAGGTACAATAGACCAGCGGCTACACTGAGTAACCTCCTGCGTGGCTGTCTCTGAGGAGGGCATGAAGATGATCAGGATGAGCCAGCTTCCTTGACTTCAAGGTCACACTCCTATACACCCAGGACAGAAATCTGACCCCTTCTCTCTCTACCTGAATAACCCCCATAGATGGGCTCCCCTGAACAAGGGTTCCTAAATTTGGAGTCCATAGTCTTCAAGACACCCAGTGGAGAGAATTGGGGTGTTTATGAACTTAGATAGGAAAACATCTTTATTTTCACTAATCTGTAACTGACATGAAGTATATTTTTCCATTATGAAATGCAGACAACAAATCATAGCAGCATTCGTAGTACCTGCAGCTTGGTCAGAAAGCACAGATATTTTCATAACCTATCACGGTTGTTACACATGTCTCAAAATGTCACTACTTCCAAATTATGACAGTTATCGGACTGGCTGCCAAACCATGTTCAAGTGTTAACAGAGAAATACATGTATTACTATAGCACGACTCTGTAAAACTATTGGGATAAATGAATTTCATTAACTCATTTGTATAAAACCTTATATATTCTATATGTATACATTTAAAACCTTCTGATCAGCCATCAAAGTTGACGGCATAACATCAGTTTAGAACCTCTGCTTCGGGAACCAGCAGTTAACGTAATGGCTATGTTGCTGGACTCCCACGTAGTCGACCGCGGTTCGCGTCCCGGACCCGGTGGCTTAAAAGTCATGCCGGGCGCGTGTGCGTACATGCCCAAGATCCTGAGAGGAGAACGGAGGAGAAGGGATTGTGGCAACCATCCTTCCTGGGGGGTGATTTCTCGCTTTCTGTCTCTCTCTGTCTGTCTGGCGAGCGCACGCGCCCTGTAGCAAAAACCTCTCCAAAAAAAAAAAAGAACCTCTGCTTCAACCAACAGGACGTGTGGAAACACTCCGACATCGGCACTCGGGGAGTAAATGAGTCACTTAAAATGGGGAAACAGCAGGTAGCAGGTCTGCGCCTCACCAGCTGCGTGACCTTCCATGAGAACAATGCCATCTGTTAAGTACTTTACCTCTGGTTTCCACAGCGTGGATGCATTTCCTGATGATGTTGAAGCCAATGCTGTCCAACTGTGCAGCTGAAAGAGCAAGAGAAGGACAGTCAAGCTGCCAGCCTGCACATCAATCTCAACCTGACCAGCCTTGGATGCATCAGCCGCCTGGTGAGGCCACAGATCCTTTGAATTTTTCACACTGAAGATATAGGAAGGATAAATAATAATGATGATAGTGATAATAACAACAAAATAACAGCAGCTACATTGATTGAGAGGTCACCACATGCCAGGTGTGAATCAAAGTGCTTCACATGCATTACCTCATTTAGTTTTGCCATGATGGTCCTAGTGTTAGGGGACTGCTGCACGAGCTAAGGCCACATGGGAGGCCAGGACAGGAACTCAGATCAGTCTGAATAAGCCACACATGGTAACATACACCTACAATCCGAGATAACTGGAAGGTTGTGGCAGAGGATTGCAATGGCATAGCCCTGCCAAAAGTACTTCTCTCTCCCTCTCTCTATGCCTCCCTCTTCTACCTACTTGCATGCCCATGTACCCTCTCATTTGAAGAAAAAAAAAAGGCACAAGTTGAGTGTTCTACAAATGTTGAGTAAATGCTTTACGTCATACATCTCATTTAATCCTAGCAAACCTTCCAGGCTGATATTATCATTAGCCCCATGTATAGATGAAGAAACTGAAGCTTAGTTAAATATCACGAAGGGAGTTGCAGAGCTGGTATATGGAGACCAGCTCCAGAATCCATGTTCCCCAAATCACTTGAAACATGACTGTGAGTTAAGTATAATCCTGATCGGGTGATTGGGAAAAATGGAAAAAAGAGGAAAATCAAAATAGCTGAGAACAGAAAAGCTACTTGAGAAAGAACCACTAAGAGTGCAGGGCTATCCCTCTATGTGGTAGAGGGACAGGTGGTGACAGAGTTCTCCATCTGCTTCTAAACCCACTAATGTCACTTAGAAAATAACTAATAAGGAGCAGCGACTTCTCCACAGCAGAGAAGCAGTTTCTTGCCTTGCAGTGAGGCCAGGGATCCACCAAAGCTCATCCCTGGGCTCTGGTTACCCAGCGCTAGGACATGCGTGATAATCTCTGAGAATGAGGGGTCTTTGCTCTCCTCAGGGCATTAGGACAAGACATTCTACAGCCTAACGTTCAGAGTGGAAAAGTAAGTGGTTGAATCAAGAAAGGTGAGTATTATTTATGATTACCCCAGGGGAAGATATAAACTTGTGATATATAAGCAGAACTCATCTAATCTGAACGGGCTCTTTCCCCAATTCTTAGCATGCTGGGTAAACTTAGATCCAATGAAAATTAAAAAAAAAAAAGAAAAGAAAGAAAGAAGAAAATAACACTGAGAATTTCCATAAACTACAAAGAAATGGTAGTTTCCTGAAACTTCTCTTCCCAAAGTGAAACTGCTCCTGCACTCCCATGCATACTTACTGCTTTAATGATACTTATAAACACATTCAGCCTCTAGGACAGCAAGTAAAATACCCGAAAAGAAGAAGAAAAACAATGCTTTTCTTCCTGGAGCTTATGAGTTATATGAACTATTTTTCTTATTCCTTTACAATGGTAAGAGGCCTACTAATGCAATCCCTTTTGTTTTTCCAGGGTGAAACAAATATTCACTCTGCAAACTGACAGCTCGAGCTTTCTGACGAAAGCTGCAAGTCAGATCAAAATAATTCTTTCAAAGAAAGGTCAACTAACTCGTACAGTGGACTTTTTTTTTTTTCAAATTTAATAACAACCTATATAATACATGGGCCAAATACTTACTGGAATTGGGGGAGGATTTTTTTTTTAATATCAACTTTATTTAGATATAATCCGCAACCCATCAAGTTCACCCATTTTAAACATACACTTCAGCAGTTTCTAGCTTATTTACAAAGCTGCACATTAATCATCACTATCTAATTGCAGAAGATGTTTGCCCAGTGTCCCCCAAGGCAAAAGCCTTACGCATTAGCAGTTACTCTCCATTTCTTCCCTTTTCCCGGCCCTAGCAACCACTTGCCGATTTTCCTTCTCTGTAGATTTTTCTATTCTGGATACTTCACATAAATAGAATCAACACCATGTGGTCTTTTATGACTAGCACCTTTGATTTAATGTAACATTTTCAAGGTTCATCTTTCTTGTCACATCAGTACTTCATTCTTTTTAATGACAAATATTCTATTGTCCAGATAGACCACATTTTGTTTATCAGTTCATCAGTTGATAGACACGTGGGTTTTCTCCCTGTTTGGCTATTATGATTCATGCAACTATTAGCATCTGGGTACGTCTTTGTGTAGACACATATTCTTGTTTCTCTTGAGTATGTATCATTGGATAACTTTATGCTTAACTTTTTGAAAAAATGTCATACTTTTCCAAAGCAGCTGTACCACTTTACACTATCACTAGAACTGTACAAGGGTTCCAATTTCTCCATATTCTTGCCAACATTATCTTTTTTGTTATAGCCATTTTAGTGGGTATCAGCATATCTCACTATCGTTTTGCTTTGCACCTCCCTAATGACTAATGATATTGGGTATCTTTTCATGTATGGGGGAGAATTTTCATTTCTTTATACAGTAATCTGAATACAGCCTACTAGAATCCACTTGTCAGATGGGGAATTACTTTTTGGGTTTAAGTAAGTGTCCAAAATGTTTATAAGTATGATTTAACAGTGAGTTGCTGCCTTTCAGCTCTTCTTTTGATAACTGCTTAAGATAACCTCTTTTTTTTTTTTTTTTCCTAATGCCAGAAGGTAGGCCCACATGAGAAAGGAGGAGAAAAAGAGGGGTGGGGGGAAGAATGCGTACATATGCACATATGCCACCCTACAATGGATCTATTCATGCTTTATTTCCATTTATTTATTTATTTTTACATTTTTACTAAAACATTTACATATCAAAAAAATTTTGCTCATACTCCTTAGTTCTTGACTGTTAACAAACAACTTTCAAAATTTCAAACTACTGAATTTTAAAGATAATGTTCAAAGTATTTCTTATAATTTTGTATAATTTTGTTTGTGACTCTAGAACAATGGAGCAATATGGTTTTAAATATTTTTGAGAAAATATTTACATGTCAGCCACTCAAATTGTTGAAAAGCAAATGCCCAGCACACAAATTAATCTTCATTCCAATCAAAGCCCTGTCCAATAATGAGTATTTCCAATTTCTGATTCAATGCAACAAGCATTATCGAACTTATGCAAATAACCCTTCTGTCAAAAAATAAGAATACTCCCAAATATTTCCAATTCAAGAGGGGTCAGGAAGGAAGAAAAATTTGTTTCCACTTAAAGAAACAAAAAAGAAAAATATTTTAACAAATTGCTGAACCTAACAACTCAAAATAAAGTAAAATGTTTAAATTGGGAAAACAAAGCATAGTTAAAAAAAAGAAATCAGTAATGTTTTACTCAAAAGTCATAAAATTCTATTTTGCAATTTGAATATGCAGAATTACTGTGGTCCAATCTTTCCATTTGAATCTTAGAAGTTAACATTCAATGTTATTATTGTTATTTGTTTTTCCTAGCATTAAACTGGTCATTTTCTTGGTTACTTTTTGTTCTCTTATTCCTCAATGTGATTTTAGTTTTCCTGGTAGAGTACTCCTTTCAGAACTTCTTGAAGAGTGAATCTACTATTGGCAAATTCTTTCAGGTCTTGTTTATCTGAGAAAGTTTTTATCCTTTCTTTCCATATGAAAGATAATCTTGCTGAGTATAGTATTCTTGGTTGAAACTGTTTTTCACTCAACACTTCGAATATGTTTTTCCATTCTTTCCTTGCTTGCATTGTTTCTGATTAGAGGTCTGAGGTTAACCTGATTGGATAACCTTTATAAGTAACCTGATATTTCTCTCTTGCCAGTTTTAGTATCTTGTCTTTGTCTGTAGATTTGGCCAGTCTGGCTATGATGTACCTTGGAGAAGATCTTCTTGGGTTGATTCAATTAGAGATCCCTTGTATTTCTAGGGTCTGGATATTTGAATACCTCTCCAGATTTGGAAAGTTTTCTTCCAAGATTTCATTGAATAGATTATCAATGCCCTTATTAGTTTCCTCACTTTCTGGGATACCAGTTATCCAGATGTTTGGGTGCTTAATGCTGTCTAATATTTCTCGTATAGTATTCTCCTTTTATTGGGTTATTTCCTCAGTTTTTTTTTTTTTGGTTGTTTTTTTCTAGATCAGAGGTTTTGCCTTCAACATTCGAGATTTGATTTTGTGCATGGACTAATCTGCTTTTAATACTTTTGAGGAAGGTTTTGATTTCCTGAATGGCATTCTTCATCTCTAATAGCTCCATTTTATTCTTTTTTATGGTGTGTATTTCCTCTTTCAGGTCATGGAAGAACTTAGACACCTCCTGGAACTCATTGTCTCTTTTCTCCTGCATCTCCTGAAGTTCATTATCTCTCAGCTCTTGCATCTCGTTTAGTTTTGTCAATATGAATATTCTGAATTCTCTATCAGATATCTCCAGGAGATCTACTGTACTGTCTGTGGATGATGAGGGATTGTTCTTTTCCCTTAGTGGAAAGATATTTTCTTGATTTCTCATGTTTCTTGTGCCTCTGCGGTTGTTTCTGGTCATTCTGTGACAAAATCTGTCCTCCACTGTGCTTCACAATGCGGTATCCACAGAAAGATTAGGAGTTCAGATTTATAAAAAGAAATTTCTTCATTAAAGCAGGAGAGTCAATAGGCGGTGAGGATTTCAAAGATTCTAAAAGTATTCAGATGTTTGGCTACTCTGCACCTAGGCCTATCTAGACATTCAGTGAGTGGAGAATGAAGCACCCTACCTTGTCTGAATATTTGGGGGTCTAGGAGATGAAGCCTAGAGCTTAGCTTCCCTGAACATGCCGGGACAGACCTCAGCTTTAGAATGGCTTCTTATCTGAATATTTCAAGAGTCTAGGAGATGGAGCATAGAGCATAGCTTCCTTGAACATCTCTATTCATGCTTTAATCCTTGTTCCTACAATTCTTAACCCCAACAGGATCCTGGGACCATG